ACAAAAATCATGTCGCTATGCACCGTAGGCATCCTTGTTTTCAAAATATCTGTCAGCCACCCACCACTGTGGAGCTTCACTTGTCCCAGACTTATAGCTCCACAGCTTTCCTTCTGTTCTTTTTCTCTTCTCCTCCCTTCTACTAGTGAGGCAGTAGAATTCCTGCTGAGACTCAGGAGACCATGTCCACTCTCCTGTGTAACCTTGGTCCTGGCCTTACTGGGACTATCCTCTGTCCCCAGCTCTTATTAAGACCTTCCAAGAAAGGATGTTCTCCCTAAGAAGTAATGTTCCTCTTCCCAGAGCCTTCTAACCAGAAGGTCCATCATGCTGAGAGGTGATCCCTGCCTTTGAAACACAATCATGAAAATTGTTCAGAGACAGTGGATTCTCAGGTCCCGGATATCTAACAAACGGCATATATTTTGATTCTTTATAATTGAACTAAAATTATTCTGTCTTTTTATATATTCTAGACATTAGGTGACTCTACTTACTGTGGCTATTTCAGATACAATTACATGTGAAGTTGTAGAAGTGATGCGGATTCCATCAAACCTGTGTTGGGTCCCAGTTCTGCCATTTAGCAAGTGACTCAGGCATATTTTTTAACTTTTCTTGGGCTCATTTAAAAATTATTATTCTGAGCCTCAGTTTCCTTATTTCTTAAGTGGGAATAATAAATGTGGCCTCAGGTGAGTTTTTTTCTGGTTGTTTTTATTTTTTATTTGTTTTGTTTGTGGGGAGAATATTAGCTTTATTCTCTCATTTCTTTCTTGTCTCTCTTCCCTATGTACTAAATGTAACAACATTGAAATTGTCTGTTCCTAAAGCCTAAAAGGAAGCTACCAGTACTTTTTGTTTTCTAAAAAATTAATAAGATCAACATTAAATGATAGAAAGATGACAAGCCTAGGAGCCAGACAGATGGCCATGGGTCCTTTTTTATTCTTTAGCTCTTTCTTCTTTTTGGCAAATAAAAATTGTATACATTTGTGGTATACAATATGATGTTTTGATACATGTATACATGGTGGAATTGTTAAATCAAGCCAGCAAACATATCCATCACCTCACACACTTAACATTTTTTGAAGTGAGAACACTCACAATCTACTATCTTAACAATTTTCAAAGATACAATCTGTTATCATTACCTCTAGTCACCATGCTGTGCCAGATGTGGTTCAGAAGGTAACCTTGGAGAGAGTCTTCTCTCTGACAGTTGCTCCTCTGTAAGTGGGGTTAATAACAGCCCCTTGCCAAGCAAGTGTGAGGAGTGGAGATGCTGACGTGGAGCTGTGGCACAGAGTCAGTGACTGAGAGCTCAGAGATGGAGTGTGCCAGTCCTCAGCTCACTTCCTGTCACATCTGGATGGGATGTCAAGCCCCTCCCTTGCCATTCATGCAACCATCACAGGGATGCCAGTGGGTAGCTCATGCACTTTTAAGGGACTCTGACTGTGCTTGGTAAAGGGAGGCACTGTGCCACCACTGTGATTGCCAATAAGGAAAAGCCACAGAAACAGCTGGCTCTGGAGCTGGCATTTCTAGGTAGGCCCCCCATCCTCAACCAAATATGTTTCTGTCCTCAGTCCTAACCCACATGTCCCATGAGGCAGGGTCATGTGTTTTAAAGGATCTCTGCAGATGAGCATCAGTGACCTAGTGTGCACTGCATCTGGTGTTATTTCCAGCTCAACATTCAGGAAGCCAGAGCTCCAGCCAGGCCTGAGCAGTGTGGTATGCAGAATGAGCTCCTCCACCTTTGAGTTCAGTCATTTAGCGCCCAGCACAGCGTCTAGCACAGAGTATACACTCAATGATGTGTTGATAAATTCATGGCACAAGCACCACCGACTTCTGATTATGTTCCCCCGGAATGCCAAAATGTTCAGAAAGTGAAAGCAACGAAGCAGTCAGTAATTAGAATTCCAAAACCTTTTAATGCCACACTTAATCAAATCTAGCAGTTCTGCCTCATTTAGTCCTATTATAGCCATCAACCACTTTGGTTGTTTTTGTCTCTGGCTTAAACTTCCAGGCTGGTTATCCCACCAACTATGGGCTGGATTTAAAGATTCATCTGAGTACAATATTTAGGGGTCATTTTTTAGAATTAGTAAATTTCTCTCAATTCTGATATTTTATTTAAGATTAAGGATATTAAAAGCATCAATTTTCTGGTTGTTACCAGAGTTTTCTACAGTATATACCTTATAATTTTAAATATATAGGCCATGTATAGCCAAGTGACTTTTAATTAAGTAACAATTTTAAGGTCATACATAAGACTGCATATAAAATGCTTTCTCCAGATAAAAATCGTATATGTTGTACTAAAGTTTAAACTTTAGAGCATTAATGATAGCCAGACTTTCTTATCTTTCTTGTCTCCAAATTCTCTAACATAATTATTTGCTGATACTAAAACATACAGAATTTATTCAATATAAAGGCATGAGTGTATTATTTTTGTCACTAGAGGGCAGGAAATTAAAGTACATTGTTTTCAAAACCCCTTAGAGATAAAAATTCTGTATTTAGGGAATGGTCATGATTTTCTAAAAGAAGGAATGAATTCAGTAAATAAATATTATCCTAGTGAATAATTCATGAGCACTAATAAATGTAACAAATGATCAACTCAATTGGTTTTACCTTAATAATTTTTATAGGAAAGAACTATGAATTTTTATTGGAGGATAATCTTAAGTATAAATATTTTCCTAACACACAATACGTCTCTTGTTTAATAGTTTCAATTTGCTGTAAAAGAAAAACTCTCTTTTTGCTTTCTTCTGTGGCTATTCATGTGCTGTGGGGTTTCTTAACAATTTAATCTGGTAACTTTTTAGCTAATTGTTTAAATTTTAAATAATGGCACTCCTTCTTTGATTTCCAGTTACCTTCTAACTGGCTTTCCAAGGGCTCTTCTATAACCGGCACCCTATGAATGCCTTCTTGCTCTCAATCTCCAGCTAAACGTCCTAGGAGCTTTTTCACACCTAACTTTTCTGAAAGCACCCACTAAATGAACCAGAGAGGGCTCAGTTCTATACTACTTGGATCCAAAATACGCGGCTAAAATTAGGCCTTTAATAACAAAATAATACAAAGAAAAATAACCAAAGGCTAATACTGTGGACAGAGAATTCAAAGCAAGTAATCTTGGGCGTTAAGATTACTTCGTCTCAATGCTAGTGGGATAGGCACAATAATCTCTTTTTTAATAGTTAGAACCTGTGAATATGTTACTTACATGGCAAAGGGATGTGCAGAGGTGATTAAGGTAAAAAACCAGGAGATGGGGAGCATTGCTTCTGGATTGTCCAGGTGGACCTAATGTAATCACACAGCTCATAAAATCAGATGAAGGAAGCAGAAGAGATTAGATGAGATGGAAGAAGGAGAGATTGGAAGCATGAGAGGGAATTGACCCACCCTTCCTGGCTTTAAACATGTGAGCATGTGGTTACCGTCAAGGAATGTGGGTGGCCTCTAGAACCTGTAAGGGGCCACAAGAAAATGAGAACCAGGGTTCCACAGCTGTGAGGAACAGAATACTTCCAACAACCTAAATGAACAAGGAAACAGATTTTTCCTAGGGCCTGAGAGAGGACCACAGCCTGCCCATAACTTGATTTTAGCCCTATGAGACCTGTGTTGGACTTCTGACCTATAGAACTGCAAGATAATATATTTGTGTTATTTAAGCTGCTAAATTTGTGGGAAGTGTTATGACACCGTAGGAAATGAATGTGCCAGACCATTAATGATGGGACGGGAGTTTCCCTTTCCAGGTCTCACCCACAGCCTTGGCTTTGCACACTGTTCCCAGCATTAGGAACATACCCCCAAGTTTTTCTGTTTACCCACAACCCCACTAAGCTTTCCTATAACAATAGTGCCTGAACTGAGTCTTGTAGGGGAAGTTAGCCAAAAGAAATGGGAGCTGTTCTGATCCTGCCCTCCCTAGGCTTTGAGGGCAAGGGGGTCTCTTATCTGAAAATGCCCTCAAAGGGCAACTAGTAGGTGTGACATAGAGTTGGCCAATGCAGCATCTACAGCCATTACCAAGGAATGGATCCACTGCCATTGCCTGCCCTGAGGCCTTCTAAGGTTGCAGAGGGTATCAGGAGGGAGGCCACCTATTCAGGGGCATTTAAAGAAATCTTTTATGTCCAGGGGCTTCTTTTCATTAGAGCAGGGGAGTACATTTCAATGACTTCTTAAACATTCAGGAGTGTTAGACTTGAGTGTGAGGGAGGTTTTAAGCCAGGCAGAAAGTTAGTTTCAAATACTAGTTAATAAATCTATTTTTCCTTATTTCCTTTTCTTGCACAGAAGCTGGTAATCTAGGACATAAATGTGAACAACTTTATATGAATATTTTTTCTACTTGGTTTACTTGGGTTGGTATGACACATTATATGTACCTTCCTTGAACACCGTGGATCCCTCCTAATGTGTACAAATGACTGAAGTTTTGTAAAGTAAGGACTGTTTGTGTGAATAAAGTTATTTGATAGGGTGAAGAAATGGGGGCCGTTTCAGGCAGAAGGTCAGTGTGAATAAAGGCGAGAGATAAGAAATTGTATGATGTGTGTGAAGGAACTGAAGGCTGCTTGCATGTTGAACCATAAAGTAAGACAGGGAGCACAAAGAATGAAGCGGAATGAACCAAACCAAAGAAACAAATGCCATGTTAAATGTCATCTCGACCCGTAAGCAGTAGGGAGTAATATGGTTTGGCTGTGTTCCCACCCAAATCTCATCCTGAATTGTAGTTCCCATAATCCCTTCCTGTCGTGGGAGGCACCAGGTGGGGATAATTGAACCATGGGCATGGTTTCACTCATCCTGATCTCGGGATAGTGAGTTAGTTCTCATGAGATCTGATGGTTTTATAATGGGCTTCCCCCTTCGCTGGGCACTCATTCTTCTCCTTGCTGCAGCTGTGTGAAAAAGGATGTTTGCTTCCCCTTCTGCCATAACTTTAAGTTTCCTGAGGCCTCCCCACCCCTGCAGAACTGTGATTCAATTAAACTTCTGTTCTTTATAAATTACCCACTCTTGGATATGTCTTATTAACAGAATGAGAATGGATCAATACAGGGAGCCATTCTGGAACTTTTAGGCAGAGTTGACCAAGATTTAAGCATGATGATCACAGGCAATCATTCTTGCAGCTGTACGGAAGGCAAAGCCAAGAAAATGAAGGCATTGGAATGTTTCTGTAAAAGACCAGATAAGACAATGATAGTAAGGACAGCTGTTTGAGGATGAATCCAACTAGTATTTAGTTCATTTAGTTCATAAAAATCAGAATAGTTCGTCTACTATAGTCTCCATTTCTTTTTTCAGATGAAACCAAAGCACAGAAAAATGATGTAACTTTCTCAAGATTGCCCACAAATATTCATGTAAGAGCTCAAATTCGGGAGACCTGGCTTCAGATTGCGTGCATTTCACCATGATGTACAATTATAAGGAAAGATGGAATAGAATAGGGGTCAGGAGAGAGTAACCATGAAGGATTTTGGGTATTCAGAGTAGAGAGAAGATAACTTTTGCTTATGAAATTGAAAAAGGGTTATTGACGAAGTGACATTAGGTTAAGACATAGTGGACACAAGAGGCCTGGAGCATTGAGAGGGAGGGAACAAGCCTGAAGGAGGGAAGTGACTGAAGGCCCAGAGGTGGGCTTGTACATGGGAGGCACAAGGAAGAGCTATGTCTTCCATAGTATGTGATAGGCCCGAAAGAGAGGTCATGGCCAGAATTTGGAGGAAGCTAATTAGGCCTTTTTAAAGTAATCAGAAAAAAACCTACAGAGGATTTTGAGCAGGGTTAAGTTTACGATCAATAGTGTGTTTTTAGGGGGAAGTCATTCAGCAGCGGTGTTTAGGAAGAGTTGAAATATCTCTAGGCCAGGCGCAGTGGCTCACACTTGTAATCCCAACATTTTGGGAGGCCAAAATGGGAGCATTACTTGAGGCTAGGAGTTTGAGACCAGCCTGGGCAACATAGCAAGACCCCCATCTCTACCAAAAATAAAGTGTAGCCAGGCATGGTGGCACACACTTGTAGTCTTAGCTACTTGGGAGGCTGAGGCAGGAAGATTGCTTGAGCCCAGGAGTTTGAGGTTACAGTGAACTATAATGGTGCCACCTCATTCCATCCTGGGTGACAGAGTGAGACCCCTGTCTCAAAATAACAATCATGTCTCTTTAATGATACCTGCCTCCCAACATTGTCCCATCAGAAGTTATCCAAGAATTCTATACTGGTTTCCTATGATGTTATAACTAATTACTGCAGAGTTGGTAGCTTAGATAACACACACTTATTCTCTTAGCATTCTTGAGGCTGGTAAGTCCAAAATCAAAGTGCCAGCACATTCGGCGTCTGGTAAAGACTGGCTTTCTGGTTCATAGATGGCATCTTCTTGCTGTATCTTCATGTCGTAGAAGGGGCAAGGAAGCTCTCTAGGGCCTCTTTTATGAGGGCACTAATCCCATTCATCCCTTTAATTCCTATCACCTCCTAAAGGCCCCATCTCCTGATAGCATCCCCTTGGTGATTCACAACATACAAATTTGGGGGATCACAAATATTCAGTCCATAGAAGCTACCATATCGATAAATCTCAGAAATAGAAAGGAAATTATCTACCTTGGAAATGCAACTATCTGTCTATGAAGATGTCTACAAATAGATGCCTTGAAGTTCTGAAATAAAACAGACGGCATCCTCAGCTGGGGTTTTTAAGGAGATCCTCTTGGTGAAGAAATTGTTTGCATTGGTGTAGATAGGGTTAAGGGAATCAACAGGGGTGATGAAGCACACTCAAGGGCCATCTATATCTGGAAACCATTACTACTGGTAGGCCTGAGGGAAGAAGGGGAGAAAGATAGGCCAGGTGTAGAAGCTTACACCTGTAATCCCAGCACTTTGGGGGGCTGAGGTGGTCAAATCACTTGAGCTCAGGAGTTAGAGACCAGCCTGGGCAGTGTAGTGAGGCTACATCTCTACAAAAATATCAAAAATTAGCTGAGTGTGGTGGCATGTGCCTGTAGTCCCAGCTCTTCAGAAAGCTGAAGTGGAAGGATTACCGGAGCCTAGAGAGGTAGAGGCTGCAGTGAGTCATGATCATACCACTGCATTCCAGCCTGGGTGATAGGGTGAGACCCAGCCTCAAAAAAAAAAAAAAAAAAAAAAAAGGTTGAAGAGGGAGGCTTTTCTGGAACCAGGCATGACAAAGCCCTTGAGAGAACAGAGAATAATAATCATGCTCACCAATAACATACATTTTAGTAAGGCTTGGGGATGTCGAGAACTAAAACTAAGCCATATCACCCGTTTTCCCGCCAGTCATAATATATAATATCCTGCTTTGACCTCTAAGAGTTGGCTACGACCCCAAACACAGATGTTTTCTGGAGATCACTTTTGAAAGATTGTGTGCAGTAACAGCCTCAGTTGAATCCATATGAATTAATTAATGTGTCTCTTAGCAGCCTGATGTTCTTCAGAGCTCTGAGTTGGTTTGACACGAACTGGCTAAGGTTAGAGGACCCTGAAGCGTGGACAGTTCCATCCTGTCACCAACCCTATATGAAATGCTGATCCTCACTTAGGCCCTGAGCAACCGTCTCACTCTATCTAGTGAAGATGAGAAATGTACTTTATCTCTCATTGCCAGGGCACAATGTCATGAGATTTTGTACAGTGTGCTGCCAAAGGTGAGTCTTAAATGAGAAGACTGGGAGGAGCCTGGTCACTCCTCAGTGCAGCAAACAATTCCTGCAGGATTTGAACCCTAAAGAGACTTGAAAGAGACTCTGTCCCTGAAAGGTGAAAGAAAAGCTGTAAACAGGAAACCAATACTTTTGCAAAAAGATTCCACATATTCTGAAAGGCTAAAATATTATTTTTATTATCATTATTATTACCTTCACTGAAACTCTTACAAGAAAACCATCACACATGGACTTTACAGCTGAACAATTTTTTTTTTTATTTTTCAGTTCCTCTATCAGGCCCAAAATAGGTAATTACAGAGGCAAATGAAACTATACAATCCAAAGGGTTTGAGGGAGCCATCACCACCTACACACCAGGCAGCAGGTCCCATGGGAAGCATTAAGTGTGAGCCACATCTGAATGAAAGTGGAAACCGACAGCTTTAGTTCTGGCTTTGGAACATATGGTGCAATAAATTATCAGCATGCAGTCTATAATTAAGGACACGGTTTCTCAATAATCATGCCTAAATGTGCTTGTCCTCGGCTGCATATTGCTTTCTGGAATGGAATCAGATATGGTCAAGTTTTGGTCTTGGGGCAACACTGAAGCTTGTTGACTGCAATGATCAGGCTCCAAATGACACGTGCCTCCCTCGCCCACCGCTACCAGCCTCCAAGCAGCCAGCAGTACTTTCTTGCCCATCAGTTTCATATTTTGTCTTATATGACTTCATTATCTTGGCCACAAGAAAATGGGATCAGGGCCTGGAGTCTGAATCAGTGACTGCGATCAGCAGCCTACGAGATGGTTTAGCCTGAGAATCTCTCAGAGGCACTCTGCACTGGGAGTGTCAACCCCATGCAATTAAATATTCTCTAGGGAAACCTCAGTGGAGGCAGAAGCCGGGTAGCAGAAGCACCCAGGAGTAGGCACAAGCCGTGATGCAAAGAACAGTTGTGAAGAAGGTAGTGGGAAGTGGTAGAGAAGCTGTAGCTTGGCATGAAGCACTGCCATAGAAGCTGAGGCTCCAAATAGTTCTGTAAACAGAAAAGAGGGCAGAGAGCTGTGGATGCCCAATTCTGATGCAGTTACTGCAGCACCCTGAACAGCTGTGAATGACATTTCACCTCTTTAGTGCCTTGCTGTGAAATTGTTTCCCTACGTATCCTGATAAAAACTCCCCTCACTTAGGTCCCATGTGCACATCTCTGTGCCTTGCAACTGAGAAAAACTAAAATAAACACAGAAGGCTTTGTGTTGAAGCCACATTTGTACACGTGAAAGTCATTCCCATCAGGAACATTCTTTTGGCACACATAGGACAGTGGGTGAGTAGAGGGCTTGGAGAAATAAAGTAGCAAGCACCATGCTACAGTTCTGCCAAACCAGCCAAGTGCCTCCCATGTGCCAGAAACTCTACCAGGACAAAATTGGTCACAATTTGGGGAAATTGTTGCGAGTAATTTGAAACAAACATGAACTATTACAGATTTTAATTCCTACTGGGCATAACACTATGATATTTATAGCAACACAACTACACTGTGGGCTCCCTTAGTACCAGAAATGTGTCCAATTGTTTATGGATGACCCTGCATACCTATTGGACTGTGTGATGCTGGTCACTGCTTCGTACATTGGGTTGTCAAAGCACCTGGTCCGACATCTAGGTAGATGTAGCCATGAAACAGCAATGTCTTGGGTTTGTGGTTGCATAGAATCTTCCACCTGGAAACCAATGAAAGGACAAAGAGTAATCTCTTTCTATTATAAATGTTAACATATATCTTATTATTAAGAGCAGCAAAAGATAACTTCCACCAATTTCTTCATAGAAATTGCATTGGGGCTTGCAGTGGAGGCAGTTCTCCTCACTCAGAAGGCTGGCTGGTTGACTGATCACTTCCAAAACGGCAGTAAATTCTGATTAATTCCCCAACAGCACAAGATCTCATCCTCAGTTTTGCAGACTCACATAGATGGATGTACAGAAACTAGAATGTCAACTTATTAACTCACATTGGCAATGTAACCAGCAGGGGGTAGACATTTACATCCTCCTGAGCACAATCTCCAAATGATAGGTACATAGAAAACCATATTCCAGGCAGTTCCTTAGTTTGAACAGATTGAAGGAACCATGGTACATCATACTTTTATGTTTTGTGACATCTGTCGTCTCATCACAGCCATCTCCACAATGGGCAGGACTCTACCAGGCCTACACTGGACTCACACTGGCACTGGGGGGCGCCCTTTTTTCTAAGCAGGGC